TTGAATGCTCACCGCTATGGTGAACAGTACCGCAAGAAGTTGGCGAAGTCGCGTGAGTTGTCCTTGAAATTGTTGAATAGGTTTGTAGAACTTGCTAGGCATGTCAAGGCAGGAGGCGGAGATGTTCATTTTGAGTGGCCAAGACACGCGCTCGGATGGCGTCAGAACGCCTTGTGCAAACTCATTCGTGAGATTGACATGATGGTGGTGAATTTTGACGGATGTGCTGTAGGTCTTGTTGACAAGGCCGAAACCCCATTCTTGAAGAAGTGGAGGCTTGCAACCACGAACGAGCGGTTGGCCCGCACGTTTGCTGACAAGAGATGTAGGCATGACCATAGTTTTGAGCACGCCCAGATAGCTGGTTCCAACACCCCTACCACGGCCATCTACCCCATTTACATGTGTGAATTGGTTTTCTCTGCTTTGTTTCCGGAGATAGTCTACCGGGATGTGCCGGCGATGCCTGTCATGCAGTCATGTGAACATGTTTTTCAACACGTCCCCAATGAGCCCCTTGAAGGCGCAGAGCTTGAGGCTGTTGTTTATGAATCTGTTGATTCGTTCGCGTGTCCTGCTGACCCAGAAGAGCATGAGCTTGAGCCCCTTGAGTCCCGAGACGAACGCCTAAAGAGAGAGGCCACGTCACTTGAACACATGACACTTCATGAGAAGAAGAACCCGTTCTGCGAGCACTGCATTCGAGGCCGGATGCTCAAGCGGTATGCAAAGTCACATCGTGAGGGACCCGAAGAAGCAGAGCGTGTGTATGAACGGCCGACTGGTTTCGGCCATCTCATCGAAGCGGACAACATGTTCCCATCCGAGGAATCTCAGGGAAACGAAGGGGAAAAGACAGCCTTAGTGGTGTTAGACAGGTTTTCAGGCGTGAGCCTTGTGTATCCCGGAAGGGATAGGTCTGAAGAGACGGTCTTCGAGGCGTTGAAACACTTCGGTGGCCACAGGTTGAACGGTGATCCGAATGTGGTGTTTAAATCTGATTCGGCCACCGAGTTAACGAAGGCGGCGGCAAGGCTGTGCTGGAACATCGCTCCCTCCGTCCCAAGGTCATGGCCACACAATGCCCACACCGAGCGTGAAATACGGGCCATAAAAGAATTGTGTCGCCCGGCCCATTTGCAGGCTGGTTTCCACAAGAAGCTCTGGCCGTTGTCCGTTGTGTTTGCTGCAAAGGCACGCGCATTTTGGACTCCATGCATGGTTAGAGATTATGAGAAAGGCACCGATGTTGAGACGCTCAAGCAGGGCAAGTCGCGTTGGCATGTTGCAACAGGCAGTGAGTTTCCTGGTCCCAAGTACCCCCTCGGTTCCCTTGTGTTTTACCGGGCGAAGGGCGACGGCATGGCAGAGCCGACCACGAAACCTGGCTTGTTTGTTGGCTGGCGTGTTGATGCAGGACTTCGCTACAGAGACGTAGTTCAGGTTCTGGACTATGAGAATGTGAGGAATCGGGCACACCTTCACTGGAGCCCACGTGACATGTATGTGAAAGAGGTTTTCTTTCCACCCCTTGAGCAAATCCAGTTCCCACTGGCAGTTGCAGCACGGCAGGCTTTGTTTAGCATGACTGACGCTGACGCAGAGCTTCGGAAGGCTGAGTACAACAAGTCGTTGGAATCCGGAGTTCTTCCGTATGATGTGGTGATTGATGCGTTCCCAGTTGAGGATCGCCCAACACCGCCAAGGCACGCCTACATCACGTATGCAAGACTGCTTGAGCATGGTTTTACCAAAGGTTGCTCCGGTTGTTCTGGCGGACACTACCGCCACAGCAAGGCATGTCGTGAGCGTTTTGATGGCTTGTTCCCAAGAGAGGCAGGCGCACCCCCAACGCCCGCTACCGGAGACCCAGTTCCACGCACTCCGGCTCTCACTCCTATGCCAAAGGCCGAACCAGGCCCTCATACTACATCCTCGTCGTCGTCCTCGGCATGGGTTGAACCACCGCCAGTTGAAGGCCCGGAGTATTCTCCAGAAGGCCACCCAGAGGAGGAAGATCTGTCGGCAGGAGTCTACGCATTGGTCACTCGGCAGCTTGGCAGGAGCGAGGTGCTGGCCCGTCCTGACGCTTTGGAAGCGATCAGGAAGGAATTTCGTGGGGTAGGTTCTATGGGGACCTGGGACCTTGAGACGGTCGCGGAGGAGGCAGCGGTAAGACGTGACGCACTCGAGGCAGGCGAGACCATCCATTTGGCTGACCTGTTGGCCATCTGTTCTGAAAAGAACATGGAATTGGATAGCTCATTTCGCTCGTTGAAAGGTAGGGTATGCTTTAGAGGAGACAATGCCAAGACCGCTGACGGTCGTGCCGCATTCTACCAGACGCTAGCAGCAAGTCCGGCAAGCATAGTCGCTGCGAACGCCATCATCTCTTTCGGGATGATCAAGGGCCACTGCACGACATCGGCAGACGCCATTAAGGCGTATCTCCAGTCGGACTTGAAAAGCTTGTGTCGCACTTGGGTGAGGCTACCTCAGGAACTATGGCCAGAGAGCTGGTACTATGCTTCCGGCAAACCCCGCTTTCGCAGACCAGTGATATTGCTGAAGAAGTCGTTGTACGGTCATCCAGAGGCCGGCAGCCATTGGCAGGCTCACTTGGAGAAACAACTGCAGTTGATGGGCGCAATAGCTGTCCCTGAGTACGCTAGCGTGTTCACTTTCCCGTCGTATGGTGGTCTGGCGCTTGTGGTCTACGTCGACGATCTGTTGTTGTCGGGCCCTAGTGGGCAACACGACCGCTTCTGGGCAGACTTGGCAGAGCTTGTACAGATTGAGGATGTCGGACCGCTTGGTAGGTTCCTAGGAAGACACCACTCCATCGTGAAGGTTGACAACCAAGAGTACTTTGCTTTTGACATGAGGGCATACGCACAGGCGACCATAGAAGAATACTGCAAGACCACCGGTTGTTCCAAGTTGAAGGAGGCCACTTGTCCCTTTGTCACGAAGACCTCAGCAGACGATGAGGTGCGTGGTGAGTTGGCGGACATCGCATGTGGCATCCTCATGCGGTTGATGTGGATTGCACGGCTGGCCAGGCCGGATGTCTTGAAGGTGACTACTTGGTTGGCTAGTCGCGTGCACGCTTGGACGCTAGCTTGCGATGTGTACTTGCACAAGGCCATTTGCTACTTGAATAGCACTCAGGAGGCGCTCTTGCTAGGACATGTTCGAGACTCCATGGATGATTTGTTTGTAGAAATGTTCGTCGACGCAGACTACTGCGGAGACGAAGAAGACACAAAGAGCACCACAGGAGGATGGCTGCAGCTGTCCGGCCCGGCAACTTCGTTCCCAGTTGCCTGGTGCAGCAAGAAGCAAACATCTACATCAAGGAGCACAACCGAAGCGGAAACGGTAGCGTTGGCATATGTGTTATTTGAGGAGGGAATCCCATTAGCGGAGCTCTTCTCGGCCATCTTTCAACGCCAGGTCTTGCTGCGCATTCGGGAGGATAATGAAGCATGCGCCAAGGTTTGTGCCGCAGGGTATTCGAAGAAACTTCGTCATCTGAAAAGGACGCACAAGGTCAACCTCAGCTCTATAAAAGAGCAGCTGGACAGGCCAGACGTCGAGTTGATGATCGTAGGCACAAAGGAGCAGAAGGCAGACATCTTTACCAAGCAGCTAGAGGCTCCACATTGGCCGTTAGCTTTGTACAACATCCAAGTGCAACTAACAGACTATGAGGTGGTCAGAACAACACAAACTGGGTTGAAGGTCGCGAGCATGGAACCCCACGCCCTCGAGCCCTCTCCGAACCCGACCGTGGCGACCACTTCGTACAAGAAGAAACGAAAGACAAAGAAGGCGAGACGCATTCCGCCATACACAATGGCACCGAATGCAGAAGCTGAGGTAAGGCAGATGGGCGCACTTTGAGGCGCGTTGCTGCTGTCAGCCATGGATGAAGAATGTCTCACATGCCATGTCGTAAGACTCGTGAACGGAGCTTGAGCCGAGGGATGTCTGAGCTTGAGCACCGAACACTTGTTCCTTGCTCCAGAGGGGGGAGAAAACCACCCTCGGTTAGAACCATGGTTTGTAACATGTGAGAGATATCATTGGCTACCAGCTTTTCCCCTTGCTTGGTAGCGTTGGAAATTGATGCTGTGTGTAAGCATTGCATTGCAGTTTGCAATAGCATTCTGGAATAGCAGTGGCAACAATGCCATACCGTTACACGTAACCTTGAGTGAAAGCACTGCTGTATAGACATCAGAGACGGAAGTCAAACACAAACTTCGTTTGGCTCAAGTGTGAGAAGAAACTTGTGCGGCAGCCTGGGTCCGATCGTTCGTTGCATCGTATCGTGACATTTGCTGTACATTGCTCACATTTGGAAGCATATATACACAGATCTAAGAATGTACTCTTTCAATGTTCAATTGTTTGGGGATGAGACTTGGATAGTCTCGGTGTAAATTTCAACATCAGCCAAGATACTTGTATGGTTGATCCCTCCACTCATGAAGCAAAAAGGAATCACACGAAACACGCACGTTGCCAACAGTATCATAGACACTTTGAAAAGAAAGCCGACAATGAACAGCAGGCCAAATGATTTGGTTGAACACATTTGGCTTTATTCGTGGGTACAACTATAAAATCTATTATCTTCTATTCGAGTTTTTTGCCGGGCACCGCGGATACATGTCAAATAGTTATAAATATAATGTATATATATATAGCTGCAATTTCTTCTATAATTGAGGGAACACCATACTTGGATTTGTTTGGACGGGTGCCCTCTATATTTGTTTAGTTTTGATATCGACGATGACGATTCTTGAGCCGTTGCCATACCTGACTTGAGCAATTTGACTTCCAAGAAGAGGAACACGTAACATCAAAGACGTGTTGGGTATGTGCCGTAAAGTCTGCTATTTCGAGGCACCTGGGATGACCGTCTGGGCATCTGAACCAGTTCAGTTCAGATGACCCACAGTACCTGACCAATTCGCTCGTGTGGCCAGGAAAGCTCTCAGTGGCGCCGCTGTGTGGCCCTGCTCGAAATGGCCGGGCGCCGGAGCTGCGTGGACGATCGCAGCCAGAGCACATTGCTGGCTGCTTTGGCAAAGGTAGCCAGGCAGGGTGGGATGTGGTGGGTTGAAAAATCTGGGGTTTACTGAAGCATCCAACAAAATGGGAGAAGCATGCGTTTTCGTTTTTCGCTTTATAGTGCCTAAACAGCTGAAGGGCTGAATTGGAGAGAGCTAAAATGGGGGACTGGACCAGAACTGAGAGTTTGCCTCGCGGAAAAAGTAACTCTCTCTGGACTCAATATAGACAGACATTCCTGACCGTGTACCGTGTATCAATATATGAACAACCACCTTTATTTGGTCCTGACTAAAGTAGTCTACGGCATGCACTACGTCTTTGTCCAAACGAGATAGGCCTCCCACATACATGAGATACTTATTTTCTTGACGCTAGAGTAGTCTGAACGAGATACAGGGATCTGCTACTAAAATAGTCTGAACGAGATACGGTGACATGCCCTCCGACCAAAGTAGTCTAAACGAGATAGGCCCCCCACAAAATAGATAGTGCTAGATAGTGTATTTGAGGTTTAGATAGTGTATTTTAGGTTAGGATACGGTGCTATTTGAGATGGTCCCTGCTCATATGTGTCAATTGATTATTGTGTCCAAGATGTGCTACAAGGTATCATGCTCAGACTCATAAGTATCAGACTTGCAGAGGCACAATGAGTTTGCATGCAGAGGCACGCTCAAAACTGTCAGACTTGTGGGTCAACACAAGCCTTCGTCTTTGACCTCACAGGCCAAACAAGCCTCCTTCCTTTCACAGGTGGGAACAAGCCTTGCTCATCTCTCCTTCGAACGATGTGGCTGTTGCTGCTGCCATCTCAGCATGTGAGAAGGGCTGGCAGTGGAGGTGGGAGACCAAGTGAGGCCACCGGTGGTGGCCATTTTCTCTATTCGGGCTTTACTCCCAACTGTTGAAGTCGCAGCCGGTTATTTGTGATTGTTGTAACATGCAGGATTGCATGCCCCATAAGTCGCTGCCACCAGCGTCTAGTTTGGGGGAAGGTGTCGCTTCTAGTTGAGATGTTCGGAGGCTCTTAAACTGGAAAGGCGGTGTCGCCCAATCAGGTTTCAGAGCATCAGTGTGAGTTGTGGATGTTGTGATGTGAGAGTTTGGTCTCAAGCTGGCACATTGCTGTAGCCATGGCAAACGAGTTTTGTGAGCATACCTAGCTTTCCCTTCCCTGATGACTTTCTGGCCTCCTTCGGGGCCTCGTTTGACCCATGAAGTCTGTCCTTGGCAAGCTGGTGATCTCTGGTTGGCTTGCAAATAAGCGCCCAACAAGCTGGTGTACATAGCTGTATCATGGAATCATGGTTGTGCAGTTATATCTAGTCTGTGGCAAACCGTGTGGCCAAATAAGATCCACTGATTTCCTCTGAGTGCCAGTCACACCTGCCATTCACCTCTCCACAGCAAGTCTCTCAAAAGGTGTTCTTCACAATGTACTTGTTTTTCCACGCTCTCGGGCCTAGTCTGACACTCATAGTTCATTAAAATATATTTAAAGTCTGCAAGATCATCACTGTTCCATTGGGCAAGCACTTGGGGTGTTGCTCGGGACGTATAAAATTTCCAGGGCCACCGAGCTACAGAGTTCCATGGTGACTTGGCGTGTTTTCCGCAGTGTCTTATGTCCAATCCATGCAGGGACGATGTGGCACGCAATTTCTCCACAAGGGAAATGGCACTAGTTGAAAGAGTTTTTGGTCATGTAGTGATGCATTTACAGTTTACCTTGGCGGATGCTTTGGCGGAGACTTTTTAGAAGAGCGGCTGGACAGAGTTCCCCATGAACAAGTGGCTGTGACTTAAACGGCAGGGTGTAGTTCCCCTCATTGTTGCTTGACCTCATGTGCTTCAATCGAACGTGATAGCCTAAAACTGGCTGCCGCTCTCTGGAATGAGTGGTGAATGTCTTCCGAGCAAGCCCGTCCAAGTACTGTTTACACTGTTTACACCTAAACCACAAGTCATTGCTTGCAACTTTTGACTTCAGTGCATCCCGTCATTAGGTTGGAGGCCATTGCTCTTAGTAACTCAGAAGAAAATTGTCACCAAATCACATCGTGAGGCCTGCTGTGGAATTGCTGGACTTCCTACAAGGCGGCCTGGGCACAGCACACAATAGTGCCCTGTCAGCCTGCGAAAAGGCACCGGTTCCCACTGCCGACCGGCTGGTGGTTTGGGCCCACGGGATGCCGGCATGGTATGGGGATCATTTTCGGAACCTGAGGAGCCGGTTTGTACTGAATGTGTTTGCATTGTTTGTACTGCAGTACTATTTTGTTTTTCTCAGAGATTTTATGTGAGCATTTGCACCCGGTGGTTCTTCCAGTTCCAGATTCTAAGTTTCAGCATTCTAGAAGAATTCCGAATGCAATTACATTCTCTTCCAAAAATGCACTCGCTAGTTGCCTACTTGGTTTGCAACAGTGCTCGCAACGATCTTCTCAGAACTTGGGTCCTGGCTGAGCTGGCCTCAACAGCGAGACTCTTTCAGCGTCGGTGCTTGAAAGCAACGTTGCCTGGGCATCGGCATGGATCTTGATATTGGCACGTCTTGTCCACATACAAGCGTTTGCCGTGTTTTAAGCATGGGGTTCTTGCTTTGACACGGTAGGCGCGGCAGTGGCGTGTGGCCCTCGTGTTGCTATCTCAACATCCACAACCCAGCCGTGTGAGCTTCAATGCAGTGCTCAGTGCAGTCGAGCGCTGGGATCAAGCACTGGAGATCTTGCGTCTCTTGGGCTGTGGATGGACAGACTAGAGATCCCAAACTTTGATTTTGATGATGTCTATTTGGCACTGTCCACGCGCTGACTTTGTTCCTCCATGGAGACGATGTGGTGTGGTGCGGTGTTCTGGGTCTCTGATCCAACTGCTTTCTTTAATAGGAATTAGTCGGATCAGAGAAAGCACACGTTCAACACTTTTATTCTGAAGTACTAAAAGAACATTAAAATAACAATCAAGCGGGGACAGTCGAACATGATTTCACTGGATCTGAGAGTTTATTGCGCAGCGGTCGCAGAGTGTCGAACAAAGATGCCTTCCACGTCTTCCTGAAATGGACAACGGCAGCTGTGAATCTGCCTTCAGAGATTCAACATCCAGTGTTGTAAAAGGTTTTATATAAAATTAACCCACATTCGCTGATACTTCGTGCCCCCGAGTTCGGATGTCGTTCAACGCTCGATACCTCATGGGCCACCTAGACGTGGAACCATGGATCAATGCAGCATTTTGATTCGACTTGGATGTGGCAGAGAAGGGTGAAGACCCAGACACCCGCAGGTTGACTCCTGTTTTACCAGTGGGTTTGGGGGGTTCCCGAGTTTTGAGCCAGACCCAAGTGGCTGGGCTGAGGCACCATGACTCTTCAAAGAATTACAGCCGATCTGGTGACCTACACAGCTATTGCTGCTTCGGCCCAGATCCAGAGGCTAAGAGAGGCTCATGGATTTGAAGTGATTTGAAGGGGTCTGTTCAAAACAAAACCAAGAAGCCTTCAAAACCAATCAAGATCCTATAGATATCCAGTGATCTCTATAGTGCAAGCATCCAGGGGCTTGGCAACGGTGTGTCTCAGACAGACCGAATCCCCAAGGCCAAGTTTTCTGCAGCCTTCAGCCTTCAGATGGCAGAAAAGAGGATGTTGGACAGGCACATTCACATATTATCAAGAAACTACAGTTTACTTGAAGAAACTATCTTTGAACCTGTTGTTGATGTGGTGAGGAAACCATCAGAGAATATGTGATTCTGCCGCGGAATCAGAAAAAATGAGAAAACGTGACAACTTGATAAGAGTCTAATCTCTGAGTGGGTTCTTTCTGGTCAATAAAGTAGATGGAAAACAATAAAGCATCTTTGAGTAGATACACATCATGCAGTATAATTGACATGCATGTGACTCCCATATCAGAAAGGTTTTTTCTCCAAGTCCATTGGATGCAGATCTTCGTGAAACCGGAAGCAGAGGTGTCACCGTGGGTAGTGCCACAGATGGTTTTACCGCTGCATGTACAAGATAGGTTTTCAGTTTGAGATGGTGTAAGTTCGGACAGTAAAGCAGCCTAGAAATCGAACAGGTTCTAGATAGAGGTTGCTTGGTTTGCACTTCTCGCTTGTACAATTTATATATACATATATATGGTTTAATTCCACGACTGAGGTTTCCAGCTGCGCAACTGCCAGCCATCTATCTACGAGCCTTGAGATGCTGGAGAAGATGAAGCAAGACTCTGTTCAGCCGCGGAGCCTTGCTTACAATGCTGTCCTTCATGCGTGAAGCTTGCTTGCAGTGGCCAAGGAGTGTGGGGTTCTAAAAGGAGTTGCAAATGCTCGCTCTTCATTTTCACGAAAGCTAGCCTCAAAGACGTCGAAAGATTGAACTATTCAATGTTATGGACCCCCCGGTCGGCATCAACTCCCACTGTTGGCGTCGGATGTTTCCTTGGGTGTGATGGTCTTTGGAGATAGGTCTGGCCATACCATGAGGCCACAGAGCCTGCATTGCATGGCAGCATCGATGTTGGCCTTGATCTCACTCATCACTTTAAATTTGTTCTCCCCTCATCATTCCTGGAAAAGAGCTCATGCCTCTCAACTTCACTGTCCAGCATCATCTTAAATGCACGCCAATGTGCAAATGCCAGCCCACATGATCTCATGATCCTGATGGCACCCAGCCCTTGTGGCATCCCTCATCTTGACCTTCCTCATGTGCATGGGATGAGGCGCATCGCCCCACCTCATCAAGACCCATTCCCTCAAATCAACCAGCCTTTGAACCAAATGCCTCAACCTATCTCGCACTTGGCCACCTCCCTCATCTTTCAATCTCACTGGCTGAGTGTGAAGCTGCCTCATGAACACTTTCCCATAGTATGCCATCACCATGCCCAATGCCCATGCCTCCAATGCCACTCATCATGAGCAATGCAATCTCAGCTAATGATCCTGCTTCTGATTTGCTTATTTGAGCCCGATCTATTGCAACCCCATGTTGGACCATGGCTCCGATCGTTTCCCACTAAAAGCCCGATGGTTGAATCACATGCATGAACAACAAAACCCAACTAAATCTCGTGGTGTTCAATCCTGATGGCCATCCACCCAGCCCTCATGGACCCCACAACCAGAGGCTTCTCATGCTCATTTTCCTCTTGAGCAGCTGCATCAAACAGTGGAGAATGGTTGAAACTCATGGTTCCCATCAACCCCATGGTTCCTCTTCAACCCTCATGGTTCCTATCAGCGCCCACGGTTCCTATGAACATCTCATCCCATCAACCCTGCTTTTCAACCCTCAAGGCTCCTATCCCCCCGTGGTTTCTTTCAAAATCTCATCCCAGCAACGCTGCTTTGCAAGCCCTCATGGTTCCTATCTGCACCCATCACTTCTTGTTTGTAGGCTGCCACCCTGCTCATTACTGCACTGCTCATGCGTCGGAACAACAAAACGCGACCAGCAGTGGCTAGTTTTCTTTCACCCCCGCTGGCCCCAAGTAAGATTCTCTCATGTTGAACTTGGCGTGCTGGGAACTTGACATGCTCAAACTCGGTTCATCAACTCAGTTCATGTGCCTCTCTATGAACGCACAAGCGAATGAAACGAGAATTGGGGTGTTTGGGGGGCAGAGTGTGCCAGAAATTTTCATGTTTACTTTCTATTTTTGAGTCATTCTGCGTTGTTTAGGGGTATGTATGGTGTGTCACTCGGGAGGACTTGCTAGCGTTTCTGCTGGGTGCAATTTCAACTGTCTCGCAAGCACACCTCACCCTGTGATGCGGAATGCACTCTGCAGTTCTCGTGGGCTATCATCGGAACATTGCATACAATCCCCAGCAATGCTGGACGTGAGGTTCTGTTGAATCTTCCGGTATATGATTATACTTGTCGACCTCGGCAGATCCATCCTCAAAGACCCTCACGATCTCTTCGGAGACTTTTCGCCCATGGTCAAAGAGCCGAGAGGAAGGGTCACAGGAGAACTCTTCAGCCCACGCTTCAAATGCTGCAATGATGGGATCCATGTAACGTACTAGTACAAAAGTCTCCGGGACAGTGTTTGTATACTGTAATATTCACTTGTTACTACTAGTAAGGCACCTGTTACTAGAAGCGATGCACTTGTTACTAGTAGCTTCTTGTTACTAACGTGCGGTCTAAGCCAGAAATCGCACTGTTCGGCCTCTTCCGGGGGAACACCGCTGAAACTGCCGCGCGGCACCTCGGCAGCGCCTGCACCGAGGCGCCGACTCCCTGGCCTGGCGCTGTGCGCTGCAGATCTTCGGCGAGGCCCGTGCAGCGGAGGCCCTGGACCCGCTGGCGCTGCAGGCGCTGATGGCGAGCCTCAGTGGGGCTGGACAGTTCAGGACGTGGATTCCGAAAATCGTTCCTTAAAGGTGAGTGGGCCCAGGACTGGGTGACGGGCCGGTGACAGGGAGTTGGAGTTTTCAAGAGTTGAGGGGATTTCTTCACGTTCGAAACAAGACATCATGAATCTATATACCTGAGGTTTGGTTGTTGGGTGGCAAACTAGCCTGTCAACCAGATCCAGTTCCAGAATTTTCGATTTGAGGAGCCGTGAACGGCATCCCTGCGATTCCAAGGAGGTGTTCATGAGTTCAGAGTCCAGAGGATGATCATTCTTGAAACATTTGTTTGGAAGGTTCAAGTTCTAGGGATGCCCGGGGTCCAGTGGAAAATCAGAGTCAAGACGCCTGCCTCATAAACAATCATCAACCACTTCGAGGTTGCGTCTTCTTTGCCCGTTTGTGAGAGGTGAGCAGAAAGATCGGCCGGTGCTCTTTCCAAGAGAGAAGCTACGCTTAGAGTGTTTGCCCAAACATGTGCGGTGTCCAGAAATCATTTCGAACTTGGCATTACAACAATGATGAGTGGACACCAAAGACTCGTTTGTTTGAACTCCACTCCCACCTGGCAGGACGGTAAATCAGTTGATGCCGCGTGTGAGCCGCACCCTTTCTTTGGGCTGGCTTCTCTCAAAGGCAAAGAATTGTCGTTCCTTGGCCTGGGAAAAGCTCCTGCAAGAAGCAAGGTTGATCAATGTGATCATTTGATTGGGGTCAGCCATAAAACTGAAATGCAAGGGTAGCTGATTAAAATCAGCTTGATAGGGGTTTTGATTAGAGTAGATATGCACCATGCTGTGCTTCGTGAATCAGTGGAGCAACGGCTCCCGTCCCTCTCGGTCAGTCGATGCTTGCCGTTGAAGGGGTGGACGGTGGAGAGATAGACGAACCAGCGGGCCTACCAGCATACAGTCAATGCATGGCAATGCCTCATGAACAGTTTTTTTTTGCAAATCTCTACAAGAATTGAATCCACAAGATGTTTATCCATCTTGGGTGCAGGGGCACATTGACATCCCTCTTTACCTTACCAGGTATACATTTTCTGTAAGTTCACCTTCAGTCTGGAGGTGCTGGCCAGGCCCTATGGGCCCTCCTGGAAACATGATCCGAAAAATGATCGAAACAGCAGTGGCATCATCCTACTATGTCCTACTAGTGGGCCTTCTTGGCACTTTAGACACTACCAGGTTATTTGGTTCCAAAGCCCTGAAAAACGTCGCAATAATGTGAGCTAGATCTGTGCGTAAAAGACAGACATGTTATTGACAAATTGAACTTACAATTGCTGGCAACATTACTGTATATGGATTGCGCTCAAAAAGGCCTAATCAAAAAAAATAGATGAACGTAAACTTTTGAGGTTGGAGATGTGTTTTTAAGTATTCGTTTAGAAGCGGGCCCCCAGCAGAATACGGTGATACAGCAAGGCAGCGCTAGGTTGGCGCTAGGTTTCTTCATAACAAATAAAACAAAAAGGAAAAGAAACAAGCAGAGAGCAGGACACATAAGAAACTGAACCGCCTTGACTTGCGAAATTTGACACTTACAATTGCTGGCAACATTACTGTATATATATTATGTATAGTATATAGCCCTTTTCGGAGTAAAACACACAAACATCTTTGGCAATGAGCCAGCCCGCATTTACACAGTTCCTGTGCATCCGCTTTCGCCCGAGGCCAACACAGTGATCTTTCACTAAACCCCTCCCTTAGCTTTCGTTGACCCTCGAGGCCTCAAGTCTTACATCTGAGGACGTCATTGAAGTGGACCTTTATTTTTTTGCGTGGTAAGATAGATGACTAGATGATACTGCTAGATGCATGATTGTTTTCAAGACGTGTCAGATCTGTGGCTGTCATGGCCTGCATGCATGTTGGGTCCTTTTGAAGTTTTGGCGCCTTAATTACGAGATCTCAATGAAGAACTTCAAGCAGCGTTGCCCTTAGGCTCACCTTATGGCTAAGGAACATGTCAATCTCAGCCATGCCCGTCCATGCAGTGCTTGGGGATGGCATTTGATATCACGAAAGCCAGCCGATAGGCTAGAAGTATCTAGATACGAAGTGAGTCTTTAGGGGGTCTGGGGGGAGGCCAGGTAAAGTGGATGTAAACAACATCAGGCTGCTGATATTTTTACTTTGCCAAGGAGGTGATTTTGGGTTGGTTGGTGATGCAGAAGATGCACGGTGAATGGTTAGTGCATCATTTGCATCAGCAATTTGCTCTAAGGAAACTATTTACATCTATTTAGTTTTTGTTTGAGTATATATTGAAGCCTTTTTGGCATCCCCAGCTCAGGTGCTATAGTCGGAGGCTTGTCATGCCCTGTGGGGGGGCGTTTCTGTTTCCTACGTCCGGGGGGCGCTCTGCACTTGCACTGGCGCGGTTGGGCCCAGGCGGTGCCTTCGGGGGAAGCATGAGCCCAGACCCTGCGGCATTGGAAGCTGCGTGTTGGAGGCTGGGGGTAGCAGCTGTCGCAGTTTTGTGTTTTCCTGAGGCTTTATCACCAACTGAAAATTCCGCAGTGACGGTCCTCTGTCACATCCGCAGAGATCCAAACACGGAAGGAAATCGACGTGGTAGAAACACTTGAGACATGTGGAACCCCCAACTACGTTGGAGCTTGATTATATAATCAACCTGTGCAATGTGTGCCAAAATGGTATTCGGAGGGTCAATGGCTCATATTGCTCAGTTTTCTTCTCCACTGTGAAGATCTGTGAAGTGCCTCCTGGAAAACATGTTACCCTGGCCCCGGCGTGTAAAAATGTGTAAAAACATGTTAAAACCATTTAAACTCAGTTTCTGCGCGAATAGAAAGGGAGGACTCTTCAGAGCTTTGAGTGCGAAAAGAGATGCTACACCGCCCGAATGCACCAGTTTCTGGAGACGAGTGTTTCCTGTGCAGACGCAGGCTGCTGCAGTTACTCCCCCAGAGCACTCATCTATGCGATCGGCTCCAGCGATCTCTACGTCCAAGTGCTTTCCGGACGCTGCTGGTCGTGCCTAAGCTGAGAAGCCTGAGAGAAACTCTACATTCGAAGATCGACCTGAATCAAGCGGAGAAGTGTGTTTCAGCACGTAGAAACTTCGAAACCCATGATCCAAAGCAAGCTTCAAGTATTCGCTTCAAGATCCAGGTTGTCAAGGATTTGAGGCATCCCGATGGAGCCAGCAGATTCTGCAGAGCCCCTTCAAATTCCTGACTTCTTCAAGGAGTTTTTTCACTACATCATTTTGCCATGAATCCAGAGGGATTGTAAGTATGGGCATGCGGCATGTCTTTGGAACCGTTAGATCTTGCTGGATACCTTGTGCGCAAGTCAGTGTAATCCCATCAGCTGGAGGCGCTCAAAGCAAATGCTCCAGAAGAGATGCGGGCGCCCTTTGGTCTTGGGACTTTGCCGTCTCTTCTAGTCCTGCAGGACTCAGTGCCAGACAAGTAGTAGTACAACAAGTTGTAAATCGGCAAAGAATCTTGAGGCAGATGCCAAAGGAGGAGAGCCTTCGTCTCAGATCCTTTCTGATTCTGAATTGATTTGTTCGGCTAGGAATTCCAGTTGGCTTCGAAACTGAGCCGCACGACCAGCCCCTGCTCCCGCGAAAGTCTTGAAGCTCTGGAACCCAGCGTCCAGCTGATGGGGAGGTGCTCCAGCTGATGCGGATTTGTACTCATAACCTGTGCAACCTGTTCCCGACAGATCACGCTTGCTCATTCCGTTCTAATACACAAGAACTTGTATAGTACTGAGAGTGCAACCGCCGAACAATGTGTTCTTCCCTTCTGTGGTTTTTTGGATCAAGGTGATATTTGTCAGATTGCTGCTGGACAATGAGAATTGGCGTATATCCAGTTCCCAGTCGGGTTGATCTATCAAGCAAACTGTTTCACGACACTTCTAAGCTAAGTTCTAAGTTTTGCATGTGTTTTCAGAGCTGAGGTTGCCTAGCGCTCACAAGCTAGTGGCCTTCATCGACTTTTCCTTGAGCTGCAGGCGGTAGTTGGGGTTGGTTTCACTTGTGCCGGGAAATTTGTTTGAACAGTGTTTCTCAGGTGTTGGTGCCAATATGTTCTTGATGCAGCAGGGGGCTGTTATGTTTTGGATTGGCTCAAACATGTTCAAGCGGAAACTCTGCGTGACACTCGAATTGAACAACCTACCATTGCAAGGACTCGCTTTAGCAACGAAGGAGTTCGAACTGTGACAACTAGGTATTAACATACTCTTGGGATCTCTTGGGCTATTGGGCTATGAACGGCATGCTGCAGCTTTTGCGTGCAGTTTTTCTATGTGCTCATGTGTTATCTTTGCAACGAAGCTTCCACCAGCATCGATTTTTACCACTCCTCTTGAAGCTTGGCGGAGAGCAAGGATGTTCAAAGACTTCATTTTCGAGCGCCACCGACATGCTCTTTCGCAACGAAAACATGCAGAAAGAGCTCGGCCTCAACTAAAATATAGTTTAGTCCAATATAGTCGCTATTAGGTTGGAGGCCATTGCTATTAGGTTGGAGGCCATCTCTATCAGGTTGGAGGCATCGCTATTAGGTTGGAGGTCATCGCTATTAGGTTGGAGGCCATTGCTACTAGTTTGCATTATAGCGGCACGGAAGATGCTCAACACTTGGGAAGTGGAAGAAGTCGATACGAAGAGTTAGAGACAGCACTGTCACAGCATCCAGCATCATCCAGCATCCCGAGGCAATGTTCTTTCATGCGCGTGCTGAAGCACGCTTGCCAATGGCAGTATATAATGAAATCGAAGGAAATGACGAGCCACCGCCTTCCCTCCCTTCTGATGAGGAAATCCGACAATCTCAATCACCAAGAATCTATTGGAACAGCAGTACTATGCTTTTTGTGTGATGTTTCAAGAAGGCCCTAGGGCGCACACATGTTTGCCTTCCCTAGATAGGTATCTTTTTACAGGGCCAGACCTGGCTCAGAATCGCACACCTTTCGTGATTGTGTTTTGGAACTCCCTCTATAATTCGCGTTGTCGCATTGCTTGGAACATATGTCAAGCGTGCCTAGCCATCGACTTGGTGAAGAGGGAAATGTGTTTGCCGTAGAAGAGCATAATGTATTTGAGGCGTCAGATGCTGAAAAGAGGGATTCCTCGAGGCCTCAGATGTTGGAGCACCCTCCTGTTATGGTTTGGATTGGAGCGATTCGTTTCGAGCGATGTGGAGCAGGTCCGAGTTCATCGTGGATGCATTCTCAGTTTGTGCTGAACCACCAGATGTCCAGAGCGTTGCAAAAAAAAGGCTGCGAATGGAGCCATGACTGATCCATCCACAAGAGTGTTCTTCACGACGCACAGCAGGGCTTTCTCACCAAATCTTTGATCTCGGAGGACCAAACCGGCCTCAACAACTCGCAAACAGATTTGTTCACACTCGCCGCAATGAAGATGGCAATTGAAGAGGGCGGACAATGCGGACACGACACTTCTTTGTCCAAACGGACAGAGGTGACGGTGCCACGTGCCAGGGGAGAGGGGAAGACTCACCTCGTCAACCAGCTGAGGTTTGGAGCTTGGAGATCTCGAAAATGGGGTGTGTCACTCTGAATTAGCAGGACCCGGCGCACGGATTCTTTTTATCCCCCAAACAATGTGGTTCTTACGGTAGTGGTTAAGGCTGGGTTTGATCAAGGGTGCTGACTGGCGTGTCTGGCCAATTCGCTGCTATTGACGACGCATTCATGCCACTTGAGCTTACCGCCTCAGGAGCTGCTTTCCTCGACAGTGAGGTCTTGTTGTGGTGCCATGCACATTTTCGGACTTGGTAGTATCTTTTTGTGGCAGAAGGAAGGGATTCCTCGTGTTTTGGTGGTCTGAAGTTGACTTTTAGGAGATTGTTACTTCGATGTGCGGTCTTTGGTCGGCGTTGGTTCCCTGCAGCTGCAGCGGCAGCGAACTGTAGACTTTGGACAGGTGACATGCGGCTCGTTCTTGGAATTTGGGACAGGTATCACGCGAAAGCTTCGTTTGTTTTGGCATCTCAATCTTGTCTTTGGACGTGTGCGCTCATATGTGTGCTTTGTGTGTGTGCTCTAGTCTTTCATACCTGTGCTTTTGTTGTGCGCTCTCATATGTGTGCTCACTCATACCATACCAGTGCTCTCACATCTGTGTACTTAGAGGTGTGCTCTTCCATGTGTGCCTCATGTATTTTTAATGCCATACGGGTGCTCCCATACCTGGACTTTCGCGTGTGCACTCTTGTGCTCTCGTGTATGTGCTCCAAAGTGCGGAAGTTCGCTTGCTCACCCCGGCTTTTTTGATTGCCACTGCTTGGGGTCTCTTGCTGGGATAATTGGTGGAAACTGAGTCTTGGCCGGCCCACTGCAAGGTTGTTTTGCGCCCGGTAAACGAACATGGACTTGAAAGACTGCTTTTATGCATGGCTCAACTCAAATCCTTCAACTCTAGGCGTCGAGCAGAGAGGCAGAGGAAAGCCCCCACATGATTGAAGCTCTTCGGAACATCGCAGATGAGGCGGCATCTTAAGAGCATGGTGGTTGTGATTGTTGGTGGCGGTGGCGGTGGCGGCAGCTTTTGTTATTTCCTTTGCTTTCATGATTTTGGATCTTGAACTGGTGGTTTAGCGATGTTTTCTCCATTTGAACTTGCACTTTTGCACACCAGGCAGATCCATTTGGTGTTTCATGGTGTTTAATTTGTTTTGTGCAGACCTTGACGTATCAATCTCTCGAGTCAGCTGTAATTGAATTGCTAGGTGGTAGGTTGGCGGCTGGGATGATCTAACCGTAGCAGAGATTGGCCTTCATGCTGGCCAAACTTCTTACTACCGAAATGTTGGGGCTACAAAGCTGTTGAGCAGACCCAATGTCACTGCCTACCTGGGCCTAGCTTTCACTTGATTAGAGTACCCCTACAGCCTCAGTTGGATGACTGGACGTATTTCGAAGCAAATTATGATATGCTTCAACTTGTTGCAAACCCCGCGTCAGGGGAGCAACGCAGACGAGGTCACACTAGGCCACATACATGTTTCATCATAGTTCTGAATTTCAATTTTGGCCCAATATCGAGAGGATATGTTGTAGGCAGAGATGCCTCTAGCAGAAGCCTTGCTCTCCGCTGGTTTCCATGCTGCAGATGCCACCCATGATGAAGCAAATGGCAGAGAAAACCCAGGCACGAGACTGCAGGATTTTGCATGATTGGAAAAGAGTTGCCCTGAAGACACATGCACACACACAAAGGATCTTAGTAGCCCTATGTGTGCTCTTAGCCAACGCTTGTCCTCAGCCTCAGCCTTTGACCCTTCTTCCCTTCTTGTGCAAACCACTCTCACCGTAACCACGTGAGAGTCAGAATAGAGAAAGAAAGAGATAATAAAAGAAACCTAATAACCATGGCCTCCAACCTAATAGCAATGGCCTCCAACCTAGTAGCGATGGCCTCCACCTAAGAGCGTCTACAGACGGCTTAGACAACATGGCCAGTTCATCTGAACGCACGAAACCCATTCCTTCCAGTCAAGACATGGATCGCGGGGTCTGTATGTTTTGCAGATTTGGAGATCATGCCCCCGGAGTCTTTACTAAAGGGACAGGCGCTTGGAACTCATTTTAACAGAGAATATATAGATATATGATATACCTGGTTCTTGCGGAAGTGCAGTCAGAATATGGTTCCTTAATTGATGTTTGATGTTTCTTGATGTTGGACTAGGAATGCAGTTAATATCAGTTATATAATATATGTTAATATGTTATATATATTATATAAATATCCTGTTGCATCAATGCACGGCAGCCAACTTTGTAACCAATGGATGCACAACCTTTGCCTTTGGACCTGTTGTTATTGTTGCTGTTGTTGCGCCGGCTTGTGTGTGTGTGTCGTGTGATTGTGGTTCGCCACGGCAGTTGTTTTCTTGATTAAACATTCTACACCGCCATAAGTGTTTGTTCCTTATTGTACATCAACCCTCTTTTGGAAGTGCAGCCATAGAGGAATCATTTATATAAATAAAAATACACGGGGAAGACACCGACCAGTGTTGATGTTGCATTGTCCACCTGTTCCAAGCATGTTGGGGCTATGGTCAGTTCGCCAAACCTATCCAAGGACCAAGGAATGAAAAAAGTATGTATATTGAGACAGATGAGAGAAAGGTGAACAGCAGGTGGTTTGCAGTTCTCCGCATGTTTGTGCAGATCCTGGTGGAACGTCTAGAAGAGGAACACCGAGATCGCTTGGCACGGGAGGTGATGGGTCGGTGTGGTCAGGATGGCGGTTGGTGGAGAGCGTGGATGTGGATTGTTGATGGCTGCTGGCCGGGTGAAGTGTGAAGATCGCTTGGTGGACAAGACAAGTGAGAACCAGTGAACCACTTGTGTTCTAAGGGGATTCAAATCGAGTTTGATTGCTTAATTGTGGAAGCATGCCTTTGTCAAACATCAATGGCGAGCCGAGTGGGGGGAAGAGTGACCATTCATGCGTAGTTATTGTTATTCTGTTGTTGTTATCCGAGTGGGGATTCACATCATGAGCTAAGTTAGTATTGGCGTGTACTTCCTGATGTAGTGGTTAGTTTTGAGCGATTCATACCCTCGAATCATACCCCCGAATCATACCCCTCAAAAGGTAGGTGTAAGAACTCGGTGCTGCTTTTGGTTGGTCTTTGTGCCTTGTAGATGTCCATGAACCAATGGTGCATGACGCTTGCAATTGTGTGACCCACTGGCACTCAATTTGGCCAAAATTGTCTGTCTTCTTGTGGGAAGAGCTAGGGCTAGGGCTCACATCCGAGGTGTTAAGCGTGACCCCCCAGCCCAAATGGACAGCTGTTCTTTCCACCTGCCACGAGGCACAACTGGCCGAAGGCTTGAAAACACTCAGCCACCGTGCCACTTGGCAAATTCATCGACTAAAGAAGCGAAGCATCGCAAAGGCATTGGGCGGCAGCAGCCCATGGATAGTCTCTCTAGATTCTAGGTTTTGACGAGTGGCCCCCCTGCCCAAACTGGTAGTTAGCTGCTGAGGTTGACGGCATTTCCGGCCTGAAGCAAGGTGGATCTCCAAGTGCATCTGGGGAGAATCGTACAGAAAGACAGTGTTGCTTGCAGCAGCAGCCATTGTGTTGCCTTCTTTTGACGAAACTACAAGAAGGTGGAATGGCCGTGGCTCAGGAGCTGTTTCCTCAAAACCCGGTAAGACAGAGGGAGGAACAACAAAATGCAGTTCTTTTTTACGGGGGGGGGTAGGCCGCTAGTAGAGGTAGGTAGTAGCTAGAGGTAGGTAGTTAATAGCTAAGTAGCTAGTACCTACAAGTAAGCTGCTAGTAACTGGACGCAGGATACCTCACGCTTCTTCCAGGAAGCTGCCCCCGCCGCCCTAAAGGCGGCGGGGGGGTCCTTGAAGAACGCTCGCTATTCACTTGGTTCCTAGACATTTTGAGAAACTGAACTACAAGTCAAGTCCTTTCCTTTAAGATCAAACATGATCAATGCCTGGGCTGTTTGAGCGGCGATCAGGAACTCTCGAGGCTCGATCCATGTTGAGCACCTTGAGGCGGATCCAACGATCAACTGGGCGAAGGAAGGGCAACATGGGCAACACAAGTTTGATAGGAGAAAGGAACCGGCCAAGGACTAGAATAGCAACAAGGGCCGTTCTACTAGTAGCTAGAAGCTACTAGTAGCTCCTGGCATTACTATAATATACTAGTAGCAGGATACTGGTGGACAACATGCTGGACCACCTCCAAAACCCAAAGAATGCTGTTTCCATCCATATACAGCGGGTTGGGTACTTCCCCTGGACCAGCATTCCAATTGCACCATTGTTCACCTTGGGATTGCAATGCAGACCTTCAAATTCTTGATTTGGTATCAAATTAGTTGGTGGATTCCGAATCAGAAAACGTGTGCCATTGCCTCATCAGCTGGCTGCCCAACGTATCGGGCCATATCACAATCCAAAGGAGCCATCAATCTGTTTGCCTGACCAGGGTGGAGGTTGCCTCACAACCTATGCGCTGTACCTCCACACCCGTGCGGGGGCTAGCTTGTTATACGATAGATGATAGCTGACCGACTGATTACATTTCAGAAGGGGCCCCAAATCAACAAGGGAAGATGATAGCACGATGTGCACAAGGTATCACAAGGTTGGAAGTCCTTTGCTTTGGCGTGCATAGATTGAGCTACATAATGACATACTTTGATTTAGTTGCACCAGAAGAATTAAAGAGGAATATAGGAAATGACAGCTGTGTAAGGCTAGCAGAACATACATCGGAGAAAACTCATTGTTCTGCCGCTTTGCCTGTCAACATTGATTTGCCCCTCGGCTGGATCTCGCCTTTTGCATGTTTGAATGGCATTGGGCTCCAGACTGTCAAGGGGTGCTCAGCAGGGCTTGGCAAAGCCAAGATCCCTGGAGCCAACCGGAGACGGAACCCTTGAGTTGGATCCGGTGGACAACCGGCGACAGCAACCGATTTCGCACCGATTTGGAGCACCGAACCAGCGCACAGATCCCTATCAGCCCCCAACTCCATGCGGGTGATTAACGGATTTGTCTCGTGGGCTTCATCCCGTGCCATGGGCCAATGCAGCGCGTGTGGTCAGACTTCGCGAAAGAACTTTGGTGGAGTCACTGGGGATGCTCCAACACCAAAGGCGGGCATCCCGAAACGAGTAAGAGGCTTTTAAGACTTTTGGCCCCGACCTGTAACCACCCCCCAACATCCACAAACCAACAACCTTTCTTGACGTTGGCACCACAGAATTCAGAGTATATAATCCAGAGCTTGCAGCTTGCATCTCATCATAGTTCATTGCACTCACGAAATAACTTCCCAATCCCGCAGGCACATGCTCAGCTCACAACGATGTGGGTGATCAAGGCTTCTTGGCGAAATAAGCTAGTAGTAACAGGTTGTTACTACTAGCGTGGCACTTGTTACTACTAGTAAGGCACCTGTTACTACTAGCGAGGCACTTGATACTACTAGCGACAAGAACTGGTTGTTTTGGATCACGGAGGACCGAATCAGAGGAGTTTGTGACTGTTTGTTTCACTGAAAACCAGCTTCTTGCACGTCTCCGCCCGAAAGACCAGCTCCCCTTCAGAAAACATGCAGGTGGTTCCAAAATGCCAGACACAAGGCTGTATACATGGGGTGCATGTGGGAATCCCACCTAGTCAACCAGAAATGGACACCGCGGTTCGCACCACCCACTGAGGTTTTCGAGGTCTGCCGGATGAGAGCCCCAGCACATTGTGGCCTGGCGAGGAAGACGAGACACTTGGAGAAGCGCAGATCTGGGATCAAAAGAACACCCCCATCGCCTTTTGCAGGTGTAGTCTTTTGCGAATGAACCTCTTTCCACAAGCCCTGCATGGTTCTACATGACATATACCTTGTGTTGGGTGGTTTCAGGGTGTACTTGATTTCGGTGAAGGACAAAGAAATCCTCATCGGACAATTACTCATGTGTGCGGTGTTGTTGCATGCAACGGCCTGGCTTTTGCTGGGAAAGCACTGTTGATCCCATGGGTTTCCTCAGCTTGTAGAATCTGTTGGCGGCAGTGACATTAACTGTAATTCTTCCAGCTCGCCTCAAATTTCCTGGAAAGCACTGTAAGATTGGACAGTTGATGGAAAACAACCAAGTGGCACAAGAACACACAACATAAATCAGGGTGACCAGCGACCGCACACAAGTACGTGCGTTTGTGCTGCAATCGAAAGCTACGAACAAGATAGACCGACCACATGGGCAGACTAAGGGTTACTGTAGGTGCATGGGTTGCCTAATCATAATCTCTACCCATTGAGCTTTCACTTTGGAACCAGAGCGAATGGCCTGGATGGCACACTGCTTCTCCACGGCTGACCCAGCCCGACGCGATTGCCAGTGACAAGTTGTCCCACACGGGATCCCTTTGAAAGGCCACGAAGAGCTACAAGCAGAAGGCAAGCTGTGTCCACATGATCCGCCTCTTGGAGTGAAGTTGTTGGAGGTCTTTTGAGTATAGTATAGAAAGATATTGGAATGGGGGCCTTGGTATGCTTTGGTAGTTTCCTTCTTTTGCATGATTTTGCCGATGGAAATCCTTCTTTACTTCAAAGTGAAGAGACTAAATGTTCCTGGACCTGAACCTGTGCGTGTACCGTTCAATTCATATCTCCAGATACGTTTGGACTATAGGCCACAAAAAGCACACACACACACACCTGCAGGCGTAAATGAAACTTGGCTTTTGTTGTTAATGAATTTGCTTAAGTTGCTTACGGTTCCTTAAGGTTCGCTTATGGTTGCTTTTTTTCCCCACCCAAACTGGTGAGATGTTGTTTCCACGCTGGCTCTGTCAAGGATGCTCTTGCCTTTTATTACGATGGTATCGGCCGGCCAAGGTCATTCTTGACGATTTTCGTGTCTCACCAATGGCTTTCTCGGGATCATCCTGACCCTCAAGGTCACCAACTTCAAGTGGCTCAGCTAAGGTTTGGTGGTGTGATGCCTTTGGATCACTAGAGAGAGAGAGAGAGGCTGAAGAAGGGAGTTATACCGTAATTAGCTCCAGAGCTTTCGCTCCAGAACCTCCTAGCAGTGTTTTGAACTACAATGAACAACATCTACCTCCAGCTAATGGCCTCAATAACTGAGTTTCCCCAACCATCTCGGAACCAAACGAATAGCGAGGGCAGCAGGGGCAGCTTCGTTGAAGAAGCCTGGGCTTTCGTGGGTAGCAGCTACTGGTTAGCTCACTAGCTTATTTGTAAGGCTACTAGCTCCTCACAGCCTAGCTTTCTAGATTAAAACACCAAAAAATATACATATAATATATTATAGTATAATACAATATACTTATACGGGGTAGGATGTTTTCCAAGTACTCGTTCCTGCATTCTTTGGTCCTTTCGTAGGACACAAGGAACAACATGAGCCGGGGAGATACAAGTGGAGCAAAATGGTTTCTGTTGAGCCAACCTGCAGCCGACGTCCAAGTAAGTAGAGCTTACAGCAGCAAGTTGAACAAGCAATTGTAGATAAGTGTAGCGTATGTTCATGTCCGCCGGGGTTGATATGCCAAGTTACCATGAAACTAAATTGTCTATAGTAATTGGGCCAAAGGCAGAGCAGTGGAGCATTGAAGCCACTAATGATTTGGGGGATGTCAGCCGCAGATCTCGATTGGTGTCTCGATGGGTGTTGATCAGTCATCGAACATCGACACCTTCAGCCACTGGTGACCAGCAACCACCACCATTGCACATATACAACTTTCTTATGTTTTCTCAGACACCTTGGATGTTGATGATGTTGAAATCTACTTGTATGGCCCTGCAACTGCACGTCGCTTATTTTCTTTTTGCCTTCTGTGTGGCTCGAGGTATTGCAAAACGTATTGGCCAACATCATTGAAGGAATCACGATGGTTGCCACTCGGATCATCTTGGCTTCTGCAGCCATGGGGATGAATCTATAATATAATAGTAGTATATTATTATATGGGGATGAATCTATAATATAATAATAGTATATTATTATATGGGGATGAATCTATAATATAATAATAGTATATAATATAAGATAATTGATCTCTTGTCAAGCGACATTGTCTCCAACAACAACAAAGTGTGTGCCTCAAGCTTTGGAGTCCCCGTGAATGGTCTGAATAGAAACGGATAGTTGATGCTCCTTCCTGTGCAACATATCGTGGCGTATTGTTTTGGTTCTATCTACTGAAGCTCCCACGGTTGGAGCCAGATAGAATCAGCTAGGTGACGAGGTATTTGTACAAGAGAACGTGTGGACTCCCAGCATTTTTCGAGAGCACTGGACTCGAGTTTGGCCCTCTCATTGTAATAATATATGATATAAATAATGCAATTGTACCACGTTTAATTGTTCTCTACTGATTTTAGTTATCGACGTGGATGGACCCCAGAAGCCCTCCCTTCCTTCTCTTTTTTGGTTTCCGTTGGGTGTCCAATGCCTTTTCTTCCAGGCAACCCACTTGCTAAAAAGGCGTGGTGACAACGTCCAGGACATAGACCCAGCAGTTTTTGGCCAGGACCCCTTCTATGTATTCCAAATACTGTAAATTCCACTCAGTGTTCCAGCCAGGCTATCCCAACAAATGGGCCGGTACGCAATCCCAACAAAAGGCATAGAAGAATAGCCTGCATATGAAATGATGTCCACAGAATGGAGGGACCGCTACAACAGGCATGGGCGACATGAAACTGATGTTTTGGACTTAAGTTCAATAAAGTCATAAAGTCCTTTCCTACTAGGAGCAAGGACGCTACTAGGGGCTCCTGGCCTTACTACTAGGAGCAAGAAGCTGCTAGGGGCTCCTGGCATCGCTACTAGAAGCAAGGACGCTACTAGGATGGGGTTGGCCCTTTGATACTTTCCCGGGGAAATTATATTGGAGCGAGCGAGCGAGAGCGAGAGAGAGAGAGAGAGAGCGAGTGGCTGAAAGGTGGAGTCCCTCAGATTGTTCAAAAGGGGGCCAAGGTCTAGTCTAGTCGAGTTAGACATCCACAGACGTGATTTCTGCATATTTCTGCTGAAAGCTGACATTCTTCTTGCCCTCAGGCGCTGGACCCGGCCCCCTATTTTTGTGGCTTTCAGAGGTTGGCTCCCCAAAAAATGTTGGGTTCATAGGGACGATGAATCGGGATATCTGGTCAATTGGACAACACGAGCATTCCACAAAGATTTGATCGATCCCACTAGGGCCTTTCTCACATCCTGCCTCATAGAGCTTAAAGAGTGTGCAACTAGACGTTCGCGCATTGTTTAGCCGCAAAATCGTTAAGATGCACACGCAAATTCATCTCCATAAATATCAGAAATAAAGTCCTCCTCCGGGGTGGCCGTCAAAAGCGTCGACGTACGGTGCCTGCGATTGTATTCGAGCATCATCGAATCATATATATATATAGAGATTACAATTTCTTTTAAAGGTATTTTTGGACTTCAATCTCGGGCAAGTTGGCCCCCAGTGAGAACACAATGGATTGTAGAACACACCTCTACAGATTTTGCTGGATCTTCTCGATTCTTTGGGTATATGAAGAAAGAGTTTTACCATTGGCGGCATGAGCTGTCGTCCAACGTGCATAGCAGAAGTGCAAAGGCTACATTTCAGATCCAAAAGGCAGTTCCTTATCCATGTTCAGAGCTACAATTCATCTCACCAGTCGCGACCCAGGCCTTTTAGCATTTTTCTGATGACTCACAAACGTGCATGAAAAGCGGTGTCTCAGGAAGTGGACTTGCAGGCCCAGTTCAGCGGATTCCACAGAACTTTGACTCTTGCAGAACGCCAGCAGCTGCAGGAGTTCGTTCGAATGCGAGCGACCGGGGGGGTGAATCGCATGGAGAGTCACATGGAGAGACTTCGGCACTCCCAGTACCAGGCAGAAAATGTCCTGCCAAACCCTTCTGTTGAACTTTTTGCATTTAGCAGTTAACCAAAATTGTTCCCATCAGGATGGGCTGCAGTGTGAATCAGCAATCAATGCGCTGAGAAAACCACTTTGTGGGTAGCCCTTTGGATAACTAATCAACAGAGCAACAAGAGAGTTGAATGTTTGCTTCCTAGGGGTCACATGACGAGTCCAACATGACAAAACCGTAGGAATCGCAGGCTTTTTTGACATGCCAAGCAAGTAACGCAGAATGCGAAGCCAATCGAATTAATTACTGTATATACCCACAAAAGGCATCAAAAGGCAGGCTTTTGGTTCACTTGACATTGGGATGGGGCAGGGAGGCCAGAACCCAACTCCACTGAATCATCCTGCTCCCTGCCAGAACGCATACATTTGGATGGATTGGTTCTCGGTGCCGCAAGAGAGAAACAGTCGACCTAGCACTGCTGCAAACTCTCCAATATATTCAAGTCCGTCCTTGGAGAGACTGATGACACTGGAGAGAAATGGCACAGAATCCTGGTCTTCAATTGATGAGGCCAACAAATGCAACTTGCCTGAAATACCTCCGATTGGAAGTTTCTGTTCCATCTCTTGGAACCAACCCTTTTGAGCATGACATAGAATGACTGTATAGATGTTTCGCCCCGTTGCTGTTTAGAAATGGCCTCCAGCTGGGGCGCACAAGTCGAGAAGTACAATCCAAAGAGATCACAAGGTGACGTTGTAGACATCGGTGCCGCGGAGCACAGGGCGGGTCAGGGTCTGAGGGTGACGGTGCCATGGTGGAGAAAGGTCCTGATGAGCGGTTCCTTTGGGCACTTCATGGTGGAGTGCAAAGGGCTTTGCAATCTTCGAAAGCTAGTGAGAGACCCTTAAGTACTTAGAGCTCGCATAATTCGAAGAGCCCGTCAATCCAACATAATCCAACCATGCTGCGCTGGTTCTCTTGAGAACCACAGCAGGGACGTTCCTGATCAGATCCGAGAGCATAAACTTCAAAGGTTGTTGAGAGAAGGAGTTTACCTTTGAGGACTACGATGTTGACTTGGAGGAACTTCGTCGGCTTTGCGGCTTTCAGCCAGGACAGTCCTGTCTTTTATTTTGGAGAACCTGGGGGTGACGATTCATGAAGAAGATGATCCTACCAGATCGGGCGACCCACGATGAGGACCGAACCGCGACTCCAACAGTTCCAGGGGTTCAGGGAAAGAAGGAAGAGTAAGGCTTCATCATCGAGGAGCTCTACAGCATCCCAGGACGATGAGATCAAGAGAGGAATAAAAACCCTTGTGGATCCTTTTGGAACGTCTCATGGAGAAGGGTGTCATGCCACTAGATGTTGTCAGTTGTCAGGGGCTGCCTGGTCCTTGAAATGCAGTGTCTTCGGAAGATGACCGACAGCTCATCAACGCCCGCCATTAGTTGAGACCGTTAAGGCAGACAGGGAGGTTCGAGCAGCACTTGGCCTACTTAAGGAACGACTTCAAGGCCTGGTCATGGGGGACTGCGACGACTGGGTTCGCAACGAGCCGACTTCCATGACCATGAAGTTGAAGAGACTTTGACCAGAACGCAGAGCACTATGGCTTCTACTCTGACGAGTTCAATGGTCGGGATACGCTGGGGAGAGCCAAGATGAATGGCAAGATGAAGAAGTTAAGTACAACGCAGAAGAATAGGACCAAGAAGATAATCTGGATCAAGATCTTGTTCGTCTACAGGGAGAATAAGAAGAGATTGAGAAGAACAAGATGAAACTTGAAGCCTGGCCGTATACGAGTTTTGCTCAAGTCCTGGCTTCTCTTGGCTGGCTGCTAATAGCTAAACAAGCAGAATCACTGTCTCTGCTCATGTGAGAACATGTGATTCCTAGGACCTAGATTCATGCAGATTCTAGATTGACTGAGAACTGCGTTGGGGGAGACCGGCAAATTTTGCGCCTCAGCCTCAGCACCAAGATCTTGCGGGGTTTGAAGACCGGGTCTGTTTGCATGCTGGCTCGGCGGTTGCAAAGGTACGTACTTGCGACACAGATTGTCACCGTTGTGCTACCAGTGTCTCGTTGTCCCGACCTTGTCCCCTTCTAGGTATTCTGATGCAGGACATCGGACACAGAACGTCTGAAAAAGCCTCGCTGACCGATGCGGCTGCCCTCCTTGGTACTGGCCGGTGAAGAAGCTACCGGAGGAAATTCTGGGTTTGTTCGAGTGTCGCCCTCTTATGGTTCCTTCCAGGCCTTGGTTCAAGCTAGTTGCAAGACTCCGGTGGCACACCAATCCTTTTCAATCAGGTGCTTCCTCAAGGAATGGACAGTAATGGGATTAGCAAAAAATCAGAAAAACGCACGCACGACAACTTGATGATCCCTGGTTCTTCCTTGTGGCTGGAGAGTGAGAGAAAGCAGTTATCCTATATTGAATAAATTTGCAATGACAACCAGCAGATGCGGCTGGAACGGCTGAACGCAAGTACCAAGAGAATCTTGCTCAGGCATACAGTCCATTCCAGCATATGTGGAGGCAAGGTGGGAGATGTAAAATACATGTTTTAGGAGACACGCTGATGTTGGCCGTGGGTTTTCATGCATGTTTTGGTAGTAAGTTACTAAGATGCGTGGTTTGAATCTATAAAGATGTTGTTGTGTTCTGTGTATCAATGTATTTGCACTGATGATGTCGCTTTGCATGTGTTGTGGATGCTGGACTCTGTGTTGCCGGTTGTGGAGGGGCAGTGCACACATGCCCTTCGTCCAACAACAGGATCCATTGAGACAGATACCCAATAAAGAGAGCACAAAAGAACGGAGACGTGAACTTGGTTTCGGCTATATACATTTAGATATCAGTTGCGTTTAAACATGTTGACTTCAGTATGGGTTGGTCCGTTTTGAAATAGACAGTGGCGCGCAAGACTTTGATTCCACCAAACCTGATTGTGCGGCGATTTTTCCACAAACACTCAAAAAACATGATTGGAACATATTGGAACAACATGTGATTGCGAAGCACAAATGCTCCAAAACATGCACGCAGTCAGTTATCAACGCGTGACCTTGTTTTTGGCATAGTAGCTAGATGTAAATAGAAATTAGCGAAGTAGGTGGGAGACGTTTCCTTGAAGAATCCTTGTGCAACAGGTGGGTCTTCTTCTAGACTGCCAGACAGCGAGCACCGCTGCTGTACCTATACACATTAATAGGAGGGATCACTCGTCAGTTAAGTGCTTGTATCACAGATCGGTTTTGCAATTTACATAATTATATATATATATATTGTTTAATGTTAGTTATTTATGTATTTACTTCTTTATGTACACACGTTAAATCATTGCTAAAGGATGCTAAAATCTGATACTCTGAGGCCACACCGAAATGTTGTTTTGAATCAACTGATGGATTGCGAGCCACACCGAAATACCAGGCTTGTCAGTTCTTTGTGGCCTTGGTGCCGAGCCTTTCAGATGAGAGCAACTTGATTCAACTTCGACGCATCTGACGTTTTTAGGACGCAACACATCCATCACCTTTCGGATCCTTTCGGGTTTGTGTGCTTGAAAAAAGGAAGTGGTCGGGGTGGTCAGTCCTTCAGGGTGCCAATCCGAAGGGTTCTTTGTTCTCCCAGCTCCCAGCCACCAGTGATCACCCTTTTGAACAGGTCATTGCTCCATTTGCAGTCTTTTGTGCATTGGTCATTGAGTACAGGCCTTTGTTTTGGTTATAGTAATCTTAAATCTGTAAAATCCTCAAACATTTTCTGGATATCGTTCTGTCTTCATTGTCTTAACATGTTAATGTAACCAGCATAGGTCAGCTTTGGTCAACCGCTTGGCCTTGCCGAGGTGGTACCAACTTCAACTACAGCACCTGGCTCCAGCGTGGCTGGTGCAGGGCAGAGATGTGGTGCAAGATGCTTTCAGATGCCAGCGAAATTCCGATTGTAGCCACTTGCATTCACCATCATTGCCATTGAGCATCGTACAGCACATGGGGACCGCAGCTTTGGAGACCCCCTTTGCAACAGCCGAGGTTGTGACAGATAGTGACAGGGCCGAATTTGACCACCCCATGCTGTGGCTTCGATCACTTGTTCATGAAGGAGACTTTGGACTCGAGACCGCCGCTTGGAAAATTCTGCATCTCCAAAAACACGGCGTTCACAGCAAGTCTTGCGCTACTAGGAGCAAAGGGCATCGCTACTAGGAGCAAGGACGCTACTAGGGGCTCCTGGCCTTACAACTAGGAACAAGAAGCTACTAGGGAGAAATCGGATGAGTCTCCCACCGAGCCCGTAGGCTTTCGGGAATATTGGAAGCCTTGAGAAAACCTTCCGCTCGACTCGACTGTAACGAAGAGCAGACAACACTGCAAGTCTGTCATTCAAGCCAAGATGGGGCCCTCCACTTGTTGAGTGTTGTTATATTGTTATTTTAATTGCTGACTGATCGAAGGCTCAAATGAGCAGGGATGCTCTTAATCTGAAGTGGATGATCAGCATCATTCTTGCTGTGACACATTATCTCAGGATCGAAGGAAGGTGAGCCGCTTCATTCAAAAAGCTTTGAACTTGAAGCTTCAACGCCTCAAAGCACAGAAGACGGCACAGGACAGGCAGTCTTCAAGCAGGGTGGCCTTCGGACAGATTTTCCTAGGTCCCCAGCAATTGTTGGGTCACTTTGGAAATCCCCGTGTGCTTCACGAAGGTTTGAGGGAGAGTACTGTACCAGGCAAAATAAAGTCTACATGCCCATGTGGATGGCCTGCTTTGTATCCATGGGCATGCACGCCAGTTCCAAGCCTGCTTCACTGAGCCCTTTGAACTTTTATCGATGCAGCTAGAAGCATGAAATACTGCATATGCTTTATTTGTATGAGTGAAACATCGCCAAGTATTTGCAGAAAAAGTCTGGTTGACCCTACAAGAGAGACTGAGACCAATGGGTCCCTCACAGAAGTTCTGTGCAAAGGCCGACCCTTGTATTTGGCAATCCCCATCAGATCCCAGCAAAACAAAGGCCTTTGACATGTTCAATGCTTTTTCAGGGTCAAACGCCTTGGTTGTGTCAGAGTCCGGTTTTGTGGTTCGGTTGCTTTTGTCGCTGCCCCGTTGGTCACCAGGCCTTAAATTCGTACCGATTCTTTGCCGCGCGTGCGGATGTCTTTGGTGGACGGGCCCGAGTAGATGAGAGCATCGAGGACGGGACGGTGGCCGTGTCGTTGAGTTGTACAACTCTTCCCGTTGGAAGGTTTGTTCCGAGCATTTGAATAGTGGAACTCACCAGATGCTGGCCACGGATGAACATGATACTCCAGCCTAAATATGTAATACACATATCAAATGGTGGGTTGCCTATCACAAATGCCGTGCTGTTGCTTTGTGGCCAATGCTAATGCAATTGGTACGCACTTTCCACAAGCCACTGCATGAGATACAGTCCAGATCCTGTGCTCTTGTTGATGATGGTCTGTTGTGCACGCCTCATGTTCCAGGCCACCAATGTGTTGCCCCTTTAGACTTACTGGATAGAAACACGGGTTGAAGGTTCAATGCTGCTTGCAGACCAACAATTGTTTTGCGAACCTGGCATGCCATGTAGTCGCCATGCCGCATTCAGGACTTCCTCAAAAGATGCTCTTTTTCATCGATAAATGAAGCCGTAAAGATGGACAAGGGCATGAACGGCTTGGCTTGCGCGGTGTTGGCAGGGCACACCCACGTAATGCAGGTGTGGCCAGAGTGATGCAGACATGTTGCACGGACGAGTGAAGAATTGCGAAAGTCCGCAAACGTTGTCCCTCAAAGGCGCTCTTGGATGCACGTGCTTCGGTGCACGCAACCTTGCCTTCCGGGATGATGGACGTCGACATCATCAAAGGCCTGCTGGGAGCAATGGTAGGATTGGTGGGGAAGAGAGATATGCAGAGACAGAAAGAAGAGGGAGAGAGAGAGAGGGATATATATATATATAAGGAGAGAGATATAGAGATACTATGAGATGTATAGAGAAGCGGATTGAGAATGTATAGAGAGGAGGAGGACTGGGAGGGGTGGAGAGTCATTTCGTGTTGTCCACAATTGAACACGTTCTGGTGCTATGCCTTGCTATGCCTTGCGTCACCCGCGTGTTTGTCGAAGCCACGGATATCCGATGAGGCAGTGGTTTTCCACAAGCTATCCCGAGTTCCGTATGGGCATGGGCATGGGCAGAAAACCCAACATCGACCTCACGGGGTTTATAAACCACTCCGAATGTCAGAGTAGTTGGTGCACTTGTGACTACATCCATGTCATAGAACCCATTGACTTGGAAATTGCGAAACACTTTCCCTTACTACTGTGTGTTTTTGCGCACTAGATTCTTCTGAGGGCCGCTGCGGGAGTGCACTTTTGTGCACTTCCAGTATCATGTATGTGCACTGAGCTTTTTGGCCCAAAGCTTAAAATGTTTTGCGACCTAGGTAGCTGTACCAGGGGCCTAGTTTATCAGTTGGTTTACCAGAGATCTAGTTTACCATCTACCTGCTTACCCACACGTCTTTATAGTTTAGCAGAGACCTGCTTCACCAAGCCTTTACTTGGCTAGGGATTTGTTTTCCCAGGGATCTACTTTAGCAAAGACATATTTGACCAGAGATCTACTTTGCCAGGGACCTACTTGGTTTACCAGAGGCCTAGTTTACGATTTATGTTGCTAGCAATCTGGTAATGTACTGGAGACATCCAGAGTCGAGACTTTGAAGAGGGCCCTACTTCACCAGATATCTACCTTAGATTACCATAGATCCTGCTTACCATCTCGCTTATTGGTTTGCAAGAAATCCAGTTTACCAGGGCCCAGTCTACGATTTAATTTGCTAGAGGCCTAGTGTAATCGGGATCTAGTTTAGCCCTACTTCAGCAGAGCTTTACTTCACCAAAGATCTAGTTTACCAGAGGGACTAGTGTACCATCTTGGTTACGAGGGGTCTATCTACCAGGGGCCCATTGTAGCCGTGATCTAGTTGTTCAGAGGTCTAGTTTGCCATCTCTTCTAGCCGAGTAGAGCTCTACTTACCATCCAGTTTACCAATTACAAAAATGTACAAATTAGTTTGCCAGAGATCAAGCTTGCTAGGGATCTAGTTTTCCAGAGTCCTAGTTTGCCAGGACTTTAGTGTACTTGAGATCTAGCTTCCCCAGAGATCTGGTTTGCCAGAGATCAAGTGGGTAAAGAGACCTATTTCTGCCAGAGCTCTAGTTTAACAGAGACCTAGTTTACTATTGACTCTATCAGAGACCCAGTTTACCAGAGATCAGGCTTACCAATTGGTTTACTGGGGCTCTAGTGAAAGCATTTGGTTTACCAGAGATATACCTCACCAGAAGTCTATATATAATATAGAAATCTATCTCACCAAAGATCTCGATAGGCTGAGATCCACTTCGCCAGAGATAAATCTACTAACCATCTGGAATCAGGATGGTCTAGTGTACCAAGGTCCAGCTTGCCAGAAATCTAGTACACGATCTGGTTTACCAGAGGTTTACTTTAGCAGCGACCTACCGACCTCACCAATAATCTACTTCACCAGAGCTGTAGTTTGCCATTTGGTTCACCAACACTCTTCTTCACCATTTTAGTGCGCCAGAAATCCAAAACAAGAACATCCATTGAAATCCTCCCCACATGGTTTTAAATTCGAGGGGGACATTGGTGACAGAGGGGAAAACAGCAGGATTGAGGCCTTCAGTTTTGTTCAACGCCTTTGCAATGGTTGGCTCAACCAAGTTTACCTCATCCTGCCACAGGCCAATCTCTGGTGCATTTGGCGGTGCAAATGGGCTACCAAGGTGAAGAGGTGCAGAGAAACGTTGTGAGTTGGGCATATACCTTCGAACATATCGGCAGAGTTGATCGGGAATTCTACTGGCGGTTTCTACCTTTTTGGGGTGGAGGGGAAGGCTTGCATTTTAAACAGTACTGTATGTATGGACAAAGGATGACGAAGGTGTACTATTACTGTATGCGGGTGTATGTGCAGGTGTACATAAGACTTTGTCTCATTTCAACAAGCAGCCTCCAACTCCAACTGTCAGCGCCTTGATCTTTGGAAAGCTGAACACCCCTATGTTCCGCCAGCACCTCCCAAGAATAAGAACCACCACTAGAATAAACCAAATGCAATGCCTATGACGACCATCACAAGCTCAGAACTGCAAAGATCCATATCCCACATAAACAGCAAACAAAAAGTCCCACTACTAGGGGCTCCTGGCATCGCTACTAGGAACAATAAAGCTACTAGTAACAAAGGGCATCGCTACTAGGAACAAGGACGCTACTAGGGGCTCCTGGCCTTACTACTAGGAACAGCGGTTACCGGTGGCGGTGGCGATGCGGAAGGTGGAAGCGGCAGATGTGGAAGATGTCCCCTGACTGAGGTGTCAAGGTCAAGGTCAGGATCAGATGCTTCGCGCTTATACTCCTGAGCGCCCAAGTACCAGTCCTCTCCAAAAATTACACATCAAGAAGTGCCAGCACCGCACATGCACATGCACGTGATTGCAGATAAGTTACATGTGACTTTGCTGAAGCTCTAAATGGGAGAAGGTCGATGAATGCGGGCACCATGATGGATTGAATGTGCTTGGGACATCTCAGTGGTTGCTTTGAATAAGACCCTTTGCCAGGGCCCCTTCCCAGACTAGCCTTCCTGGTTCGAACGGTTCATCTTTTGCAGCACAGACCAGCATGTCTCCTTTTGCTCGGCTAGAGGTTGGGCTGACATCGACTAGGGGTGTGCTTTCTTTGGGGCCTGTCAATGACAGGCCACCATGCCAACTGTGATGACAAATCGCATTGGCAGGAGAGCTGCAAAGCTACCAGGCAACAGCAGCAACAAACTCAGCGACACCATCATTGCTTAGACACAATGGCTGCATCAGTTGCAAAGCCACGACAAATCAGAATGACAGTGGCGACAACCAGCACAATAGTAACCGACAAGCTTAACAGACAACAGCAATGACAAACAATATATCATGACAACCACAATAGCACCACCATGACAGCAGCAATGAATAGTCACAAAAGCCACAGGAGCAACAAAAACACAAGCCATGCTGACAACAGCATCGAAGGTGAAAAGAACAGTGCGGCACGCAGACATCATCAATGAGAAACTGCACAACAATAGCAATGGCAAGTTGCTATAACAACAACGGCGACCAAAACCATGGGGACCACAGCCAAGACAACAACTCCAGCAAGCAATGTGTAATTAGTTAGTGATGATTCAGTGGTCATGTAGACACAAGCAACATCAACGACAGACCCTGACAAGTCACAATGACAAGAGCAAGAGCCAACATCACTGCGGCCCCGACGGGCAACAGATAATAATTCACAATGAAGTGTTGTGGTTGGGTGGGGATAGCCCTAAGTAGAGTACTGTAGTTTGTTCCTATATATACATGTTGCGTATGGAAAAACTCGCACGGGAGAGACATCTATATATTGGAAGACGTTGATTTCGATGGTTTGTGTCGAAGCAAGGCTGTTTTGAGACTTGCAGGAAGATTTGAAAGAGATTGCATGATGACATTATATGACATATGTTTGTATTTTTGCCTCGTGGCCTCGCCCTCCTACTTACTGTAATTAAGTAGGCGCCTACTTAGTCAAGTAAGGGAGTAGGCTTCTAGGAGCAGGACGCCTCAGGACGCAGGATAGCTCACGCTTCTTCAAGAAAGCTCCCCCCACCTGAGGGCACGGGGGAGCTTCCCTGAAGAAGCGCTCACGCTAATGATTTGGTTCCTAGACTTTAAAAAAAAAAAAAAACTTATGTTCAAAATGTCTTCCAGACACAAGAAGAAGTCCCAGATTCCGACCAAAACGAACAATGCCAAAAGGCTCTAAGCCTAGTGCATGTATCACGAGGCACACGTGCTTGCAGAATAACTGTGCATATACTCAGTCTGTGCAACATGCTTAAGTGAAAAAATATGACCTCGTGCATGCATCAGTCCAACTGAGTCTGGGATATGTGTTTTTTTGTGGAAACCATTTTGTTTCCAAACGGAATCTTGGAAACACCTCATCCAGGCTTTGGAGTTGCTCTTGAAGATGCGGGCGGATCCGAACAACACCTCCAACCAGGCTGCGGTCTTCATTGCAGCCGTGTCAGCCAGCGTTCGTAGCCAGCAACTAGCTTTGTCAATATCACTTTGAGTTCCCATGTGACAAAAATAGACAGCACATAGAAAGCAAACATGCATTTAGGGGTCCTCTTGGGCGAAACGTGGCTGATTCATTTGAAGACAAAAAGGTAAACACAAAGACAACAAACTAACAACATGAATCAAGGAGATTTAAACGGCTGGAAAAGAGTTTGTCCACCACATAGTGCATCTCTTTTGCAGTTTCGTCACTTTGCATGGATACCAATAGGATCGCACAAAACAAGAACAAAGAAGGACGAAACAGCATCCGTGTGAGTATTGGTATCCCCAGGCTTTGAAGAAGCGTCTGCAAAGCAATACCAGTGGTTTGGAGGGAACAGTTGAAGATGCAGAAGGCTGTAAATATACAGGACCTCAGGACATCTTTGGTTCGATTAGGTTTTTAGGTTTGGCTACTGTAGGTTTGTGTATCCATAAATTCTGACCAGCGTTCAGTTCGATTCGGTTTCCCATGCCGTCTGCATGAAATCATTCCAGCTGGTGTCTTCATCTTTTTGGATGCTGGTGTCTTCACGGTCTCATCTTGATCATTCTCACCACCATCCCTCAGCTGCCTTAATCTGCTCAGCCAACCTTGAGATGCTTCTCCTGAAGGCTCATGCTACCAACCATTCTGATGACCAAAACTCTCTAGCCAAATTCCTTCATCCTACCCCTCTGATAGTGGGGCCTCCCCTAGTAATCAAGCCCACCCTTTGGCCTCCATCTTGTTTTCCATCTCTTTCATCCTGCCATCCTCTTCCTTTCCCAAATCATTATCCCAACTAGACAATCCACTATAGACCTCCACCCTCACCACATAGAGCCTCCATTGCCCATTCCTCCTCCATGTTCTCAAATGCAAGCTCCCAATTTGCATGGCTCTGATCTCTCATCAAACTTGGGCCAATATGCTAAGCTCTCATTGTTCTCATGGTCAGATGTAGTGTGTAAATATTAGATTATAAATTATATAATACATATATATATATTCATTCAGATGCAAATGTATGTTCCCGCTCTCCGGGGGGTACCAAATACATATAGGCATATTGTTTGCTTAGGGCTAGGATCCGTATTCAAAGACATGCAAAGAGAGCTACATGAGATGGGAGACAACAAATCAGCGGGAAGAATTATCAATAAGAGGAGGGGCCAAGCAATACTGTATAGAACAAATTGATCGTTATTGATCCAGAAGGAAAACACGGGAAGTGGCATCAAATTTGTCACGTACGTGACAGTGTTAAAGCATTTGGTTTGTGATCACACAGTGTTGCAACGCATTCAAGAGGGGACGAGTTGGCACCGAACCCATGAGTTCGCCAGATACGAGCACCTGCACTCGGGCACTGCAACTTGGAGGGATTGGGGTTGCAGAGAAGTGACAGATTCGCATAAATCACGTACTTTGGGAATGGTCCCCAGTAAAAATCGCTTGAGCTGACACGGAGCAAATTGCAACGCGAACGCCTGTTGTTTGTCTTGTGCTAAGTCTTACGGCAGATGTGTTTCTTACCCATTGGCCCATTAATTGAATCAGGCCTAGGTCACCGGCGGCTCAGGCCTCACAGGAAAAGCGGTTGATCTTTTGGTGGAGCATGGTGCCAAAGTGAATCTATCGAGCAGCTCGCTTTGAAACCAGATGTTTTCTTTAGACAGTCGCTGGCAAGCATTTAGCAGCAGCAGCATGACTGAGAAGAAAAACTCATCTCTCCGAACAAAGCTGCAGGCAGTATGGTTGTGGCAACGCCTTTGGATGCAGCCTGCTATCGAGCTGCACCTCCTAGTGTGGTGCAGAGACTTCTGGAGCACAAGGCTTATATATCTGCTTCTCAAGGCAGCGGCGACTCCAGGATCAGTACACTTGACAGTGTTACATTTTTTGATATCCACTGAAAAGACTATAATAGAGTTAATAGACTCTCTTTCTGGAGAATAGGGCACCTGAGTGTTCTGTCAAGATCCGACCTGAACTGAACTGAACATCATTTGTTAACAGCCTTTTGACGAGGGCACACTTTGTAGGCCGTTGCTTGGAGCCGCTATGTATGTTGGTCTTCCATTCCCATGGAAATGCGAGCCTTGGCTGCCCTTTCATGGTGATGGAGTTTGTCAGGGCAAGGGCAAGTGAAATGGTGAATATATAGAGAAGAACAAAAGAAGGTGGCCTTGGGCTCCTGTAATTAGGGAGAAAGAAGAAGTCTACCCTTCTTTCTTGTCTTTATCTTCTAACACATTTGGAGAGAAAATTCCTCATGCAAAACCTGCACCGGTAAAGATCACCGTTTGGTTCTTGTTTGTTTCAAGGGTGAGAATATGAAGCAGTCGCTTTGGTGAACCGAATGTATTTGTGACTTGCATGTGATTCTGAACCGGATATGCAAATCACCAAGACCTACTTGCGCTAGACTTTGACGTTATGTCAGTTCTCTCTTCCTTTCAGTACGTCAACATAAGCCAAGCTTGCAGACCATCTGACCATCTATGACAATCTCAGAACAAGTGCTTGGCTTTGCCTAAGTAGTCCAAGCATTTCACCAGTAATTAATTGCAAGGAACATTGTCCCTTTTTTCCGACATTCGATCAAAGAGCCACTGGAACCAGTTTGGAGGATGCAGTTCCAATTGCCGGCGATTCTGCATTATGTACACAGCACCGGGGTCTTGATCCACCCCCGAGGTATTGGAAGGAAACCGCAAACCTTCTCATCGAAGCCCAGGCCGGCAAGATGTTACAGAAAACTGGGCATTGCCACAAGGATCCAATAAACTCAAGAACAGGAAGACTGGCCATTGAACACACAATCAGCGAAACACTTCTGGATGGCTGTTGGATGCTTGAGCACAGATACAATTTCAAGGTGCAATTCTCCATGCATCGGCATTCTGTAAAGAAGAGGGCCTCACAGCACTTTTTCGTTTAGCACGGGGTGACGGGGTGTGGTGTTTTTATTATTCTGGTAGATACAATTGACCGTCTCTTGTTGGCAACACCCTGGAAGTATCTCTAACTTATAGAGTGGTACTCAACGTACTCAACCATCGCCATAGCAGAGTTGAAGGACTGATACCGAGTTGCTCCACGCCAAAAGGGAGGTCTTTCCATGAGACCCAGTTTCTTGAGGCGGATCTGAATGCGCGCATGAATATGGCCGGAGCTCTTGGCTTCATCCAAGCATTTTGCCGCTGCTGGGTGGCCATCTCATCGAAGGCCGGTGAGCCTCCTCAGCCTCCTGAGCCTAGCCACAAGCCAAAAAAGCATCTGTGGGAGCTGTCATACATGAATCTTAATATGATGCATGTTATTGCATGCTGCACAAATACTGACACAGCAGGTGCTTTTGGGACTCAACAGCTTGAAGTCAGAATCATGTGAGGAATGGATGCTGATCCCACTGCACCGAGCTTTAGCCATGAATACCCTTCCAACTTCTCAGTCATGTCTTGAAGCCTAAGCCTTGGTTCGGTCAAGCCGCAGGAGCAACCGATGATCGTGAAGCTTTGCGCGAATGGTGACACCACACCTCTAGGCCTTGCTGCCATTTTGGGTTGCTTGTCGCCAGAGGGAGGCTGTGATAGGTCGTGAAACATCATGAAACATCCATACAAACGTTTCCGCCATATCGCGCAGAGTTTGTAAAAATTAAAAATGAATACGTCCCACAGCATCCCACAGCCAAATGAGCAAAAAGGAACCTGTCATTCATATACATCCCCACACGATGTATATCGACAAACATTGCAAAGCTTCATACTAGTAACAAGTGCATCGCTACTAGTAACAAGTGCCTTACTAGTAGTAACAAGAAGCTCCTAGTAACAAGTGCCTTGCTAGTAGTAACAAGAAGCTACTAGGAACAAGTGCCTTGCTAGTAGTAACAAGAAGCTTCTAGAAACAAGTGCCTTACTAGTAGTA